AGAAAGCCTCATCTTTCTCCCGCGGAGCGGCTGGTAGTTTCGAACCGCTGACCTTAAGGTTTGCAGCCCGATTCGTAACCACTACGCTACCAGAGCATACAACCAGTCTTTTCCTTCTCCGACCCCTGCTATTCTCCGGGGACAAAGTTACCCTCAAAAAACAGCTTTCTTTAGTTAACAGGCCAAACCTGTTGTTGTTTCTCGACAACCCACAAATAAAATTCCAAACCTCACCGGCAAGAGAAAGTTCCTTAACAATGCAGAATCAACTGCTATGCAACGTTGTATTTTTCACAAATACTGATGACCATGAGTCAGCACAACTCGATGTCACTTAATAACAACAAACAGTAAGCACATACTCAGCATGGACTCAAACATAGCACGGAATTTCCATGGACTGCCAAAAGAACAAAAAACACCCCGGAATTGGAAGACATACAGCCAGAATGCTCCTCAGAAGTACTGATGTTGAGACTGTGTCTCCTGCCATACTGTGGTCATATATTATCAGGAGGGCCAGTCCCTACTGAAGGACATCATGTGGTAAAGCAGAGACACTGGAAAAGAGAAAGGGTCTCAACAACATAGAACGACACAGCGGGCTCAAATACAGCACCCATTACAAGGATGGTACAGGGATGGGCAGCAGGCTGTTCTGTTACATACTGGGTTGTTATTAGTCATAACTGACTGCATCTGCCTCCAAAAGATCAGTCTTGAAATCCCCCATGGAGCAGGTTTACTCTGCACACCTGTGGTCCTCAGTAAGTCAATCAACAATTACAACCACCACCAACTGCCTATGTAGATTCCTCAAAATCCATCTCACATGGATTTTTCCTAACACCTCCAGACCCTGAACAATCCCTCCCCCCAATAGGACTACGGTGACATTCACTTTGTTATTGTTAAGTGCTGTCGAGTCAGTTTCTACTTCTAGCTATATTGTACAAGATTTCCCAGGAGTGGCTGCTGAACTTGAACCACCAACTCTGTGGTTAGCTTACCCTACTTCAACACTCACTTGCTGTTGTTGTTAAGTACTGTGGAGTTAGTTCTGACCCATAGCGACCTTGGTTTCCAAGGAGCGGCTGGTGAGCTGAATCCACTGACCTTGGGTTCACAAATCGAATTTGCAGTCCAGAGCACTGACCCACAGCGCCACACCAGGACTCCTCAACATTCACTTACCTAACCCTAAATCAACTGATTTCGTGCTACTTTCCTTCTCAGTAGCCTCATCTGCGTTAAAAACTTCAAGCATCGGAGTTTGTATCGAGCCTTTTATTACCGCCTGGCCTATAATGACGGGACTCAGTTAATAATCCCAGTTTGGGTGAACATCCCTTGGAACGCATCTCTTACCTACTTTCCAAAACCAAGTTTGCACAAGCATTTTATACACCGCCCCCCCACCCCCTATTTTTTTTTGTCCTGAGCAGCATTCCAACCCCAAGTTAAAATTTACATTTTCACAGAATATAAAGTGAAAATTGAGTTTACCATCACATTCCTAAGAAGTGTCTCTAGTTAAACGTATTCCGGCAGGCGATTTATCTACACGCCTAAGAATAACACACCACCACTATCTGGACAGTAACGAGGTTATCAAGATCCCGGCTCTGCAACTGTGTGAGCATGGCCGAGGCCCCTACCCAGCCTGACACACGATTTTTAGCTCATAAGATCGGGATCCGAAGAGCGACAAGGTAAGGATGGAACGGAGAAACGCATGCCAAGTGTTTCTCACAGGGCCCGTGGAGCGGTGGGCGCTCAAGACACAGAAGCTGTTACTCGGCTAAAGGGAAGAAGTGCACAGAAAGGAAAGGCCGCGACTGGATGCCGTGCGACCCCGGTTTCGGGACGCGTTTCAGAGCATTTCCCCGAACCACGCTTCGAGCGCACAGAGGATGCAAGGGACAGGGTCCCCGTTACAACCTACAGTTTCGCCCGCAGGCCCGGCGCCGACAAGGTGCCGCTTCAGGGATGGGCCCGGCGCCCCCCGTCCCAGTGCGTGCAGCCGACGGCCCACCCGGCCCTCTCGACCCCACCGCGCCGCTCGCGGTTCCCGGGCCTCCCCTGCTCCTGCAGCCGGCGGCACACCGGGCGGTTACCAGGGAGAAGCGGCAGGTGATTCCCCATGTTGTGCGCAGCGTCCTGCCGGTCTTCTTCGCCGGCCATGACTGTTTACCCGCAGAGGGGGCTGGGACAGGGCGGCACCGGGACGCAGCCAACGCCGAGCACGCAGAGAGAGGGTCCGCGCCGCGCGGAAGCAGCGGCGCTCGGATACCACAGCGCCCTCTGGCGGCGCCAGCTGGCAGACGGCGGTACGGGCCAAGTTCTGAAAGGAACATTGACATCAGACTGCGGCTCTGGCGTGAAATTTTATGCGGAAACTGAGGCTGGGATTCTTTAGCCCCCATTTCATTTTTTTAAAAAGGCAGCTGAGAGTAAATAGAAGCTTGTTTATGCAGCTTTTCATCCAATTTTAAAAACAGAAAGTACAATCTGTATGTGAAGACCGGAGAAAGGCAGCATTTATTCCTTGGGTGGTGGGATTATAACTGATCTTTTCAACACTTTTCTGTAGTTTATATAACGTTCAAAAATTGTTGTTGTTAAATGCCGTCCAGTTGGTTCCAACTAATAGCAACCCTGTATAGCGTCAAAATGAAGGAAAAGGTCAAAATGGATATCAGAAACTGAAACTTACTCTCCAGCATAGAGATGCTAAAGCTAATGGAAGAAATGAGGAGGTCCAAGAGCTGAGCAGAAAATTTCAAAGATCAGCTCGATAAGATAAAACCAAATATTACAACAAAGTGTGCAAAGATCTGGAATCAGAAAACCAAAAAGGAAGAACACATTCAGCATTTCGTAAGCTGGGGGAACTGAAGAAAAAATTCAAGCCTCGACTTTCGTTATTGAAAGATTCTCTGGGCAAATTATTGAATGATGCACAATGCATCAAGAGAAGATGGAAGGAATATATTGAGTCATTGTACCAAAAGGAAATGGTTAATGTTCAACCGTTTCAAAAAGTAGCATATGATCAAGAGCCAAT